ATGTAATGTATTATATCCGCCAAATACTTCTTTAAAACTGATATTGCTCTTAAAAGTTGATATTGTTACAATTGACTTAAAAATCTGGAAACAAAGTGATCCCTCGGAAGCATTAATCACAACAAAATTACATAAGAATTGCAGACTCGGTTTGATTGAGTCTGTACATGAGGAATACATGTAAATACATAAAAATCCGTTATGTAAAATAACGCTCGTCAAGTGTATAAAGTGATATATCTGATGCAAAATTTATTTTTTGAATAAAAAAAAGATTACTTTCAAAATGCTTGTTTGAAATAAATATGGTAATTTATTGTCTTAAAAGCGAATGGGGTATGCACAAGATCATGGCAAAACGGATGAAACCCTACTTAAAGTAGCTAAATAATATTTTGTTAAGGAACATTTTATTCTGTTTACGTACATTATGCATGTGTATAATAATAGAACCAATACATTTTTACTGTTGATAAATTTTATTAAGATATTTCATACGATATAGATTTACATCCTTTAATAGCGAAGTGATCTTTAGTCCGGGTCGTTCAATGTAGGGTTTCTACTCTGTGATATTCACTTGTTTCTTAAATCAATGAAATGACCATAAAATAGATAAATACAGAATCCCTAAAGAAAGCCCAACACGACAAAAATGAAAATGTTGCAGGCTCGGTTTGATTGAGCCTGTTCATGCTCGGTACTGGAAAGTGCACGTTACCGTCCACGCCCCCTAGCACCGGCTTAAGCAGAATTCAACATTTAAACATGAAGTAGTAAAATTTTGAATTTTGATACACCCGCAGATGTGTTCATACGGCGGTTATCATGGAACCTTCAATGTGACACTTCCGTGCCATTCCATGAAAAGCGGCGTATGGTCCCCAAATAATAAAAAGCGTGTGCCCTAAACGAGAAAACAATGGGCGGAACTAATTAAAATGGAATTTTGAAAGGGGATCTGAGGTTATGAAGCCTGCATATCACAGATAAGACGTCAAAAGACAAATTTATAAAGCAGGCAACATATCCTAAGGGTGATTCAACATTATTCAAGTAGGAATATTGGAACCACCCAACTAGAAAATGCCGAAAAGTTGAAACTAAAAATACCACAAGCACAACAATAATGTCGTGCTGAACGATCTTCAAGGATCGAAAATATAACATCATTGATAAAATGTACGGGGATACTTTTTACAGCCACCACACGGCACAAATAACACGGATGTGACCATAAAATAGATAAATACAGAATCCCTAAAAACAGGGTGTTTTTTTTCCTCAAATATCCGACTGTATTATATCGCGCTTATGTATTTCTTTTTAATTTTTGATGACGTTTATAATGCTTATAGTAAGAACTGCGATTTGATATGCAAATCATTATCTAAAATAAAGAAAAATGTCGCGTACTCATCATCTTGTGTAAGAAAAGCCATTCTCTTGTAGATATTGTTGATGTTGTTATTATTATTTTGTTATTGTTTCACGATTTGATTATTATAGATGTTCGTTTCTTCATTTCAATTAATCCATAAAATAAGATAACAAGATCAACAAGGAAAGGCGGCGTTTAATGAACGAAACCCCCACATGACCCAGCAACAAGAACCAGTGGCAAGGAGCCCAGACAGACCCAAAACAAAAACGTACAGACACAAGACAGAGCACGGACAAGCTAATGCCAAAATGATAAGTAAATTGTAACTGATAAGGAATTCAAAGAAAACGAATAAATGATTGAATAATTTGTTACTGACAAGGAATTTAAAGAAAACAAATAAATGATTCACCAATAGGCCCACAAAGTTAAATGACACAGGGGAGAGAACATTAGACCCGGGAAAGGTGGCGGGGGGTAAATTAAAGAAATAAAACTAGGGGCAAAGGGGAAGATACTTACCGTATACGAGAAAACAACAAGGGACACAAGTATTGCTTGGGAGTTTAAATCGGTTAATGGTGCACCAAACCTCACTCTCAGCCTCAACATGTTCCTATAAACAAGACAGTGTAAATAAAATAAATCCCCGCCAAGTTAAATTCTAACAGTTAAAGGTTAAATAAGTAAAATACTAAAATGATTATATAGAATCACATAAAAGTAAACCCAATGAGACCATAACAAAAGTACTTAAAGGATCTTATTCTTTGTATTGAGGACACCAACAATCAACGAACATGCTCTTCATTAGCCTCTTTCGTTTAGATCTTATTGATTCATGTAATCATTTCTTATCAACATTATGACGTCAATGGTTAATTAAGAGTACATGTATGTTAATATAATATAATGAACTACTATATATTGAAGAAACATCACCTTTCTGGATCTCTGGATCAATTATTAATGTAAGTAATAAAATAGAGAAAAAAGAACAACTAAAGAAAGCCCTAAACGGCTTCATAAAAAATGCTGCAGAATCGGTTTGATTGAGCCTGTCCACGGACGGTACTGTCAAGTGCAAACTATCGTCAACGACCCCTAGCACCGGCTACGGGTTGTGGACGGTAGTAACATTTGTTGACAAATGTTTAATATCTAAAGAAGTCATACACGGGAGTGATCAATATCCTATTTGTATTTGAATAAACACTATCATTCTGTAAGCACTGTTTTCAAATAGAATATGAATATCCATTCATCCAGATAAAATCATGTTATAATGTCTTAGCCGCTTTAAAGTCAGACAATGTTAAACGTTTATAAATATAGAAATATTTAATAAAATTAAAAAATGATAAGTCGGTTTCGTGAGAAATGAAGACGATTTTGATGATGATGATGACTTATAAGTGTTATTATAATTATGATTATAAGTAGTAAAAGGTAGTTGTAGTAGTAGTTGTTGTAGTAGTAAGGAGGAGAGGGCAGGAGTAAGGAGGAGATGAAAACATTATCGGAGAAAAATGGGGATGATGAGAGGACAGGGGTATTGAGGACTTGTAGAAGCAACAGGAAGAAGATATGGGCAGGAAAAGGCAGACGAAAGTAGGACAGTGGACCTACTAGGAGGAGGAGACTGAGGAGTGGGAGGGGGCAGTAGTATGGAAGAAGAGAAGTTGTAATAGGAGGAAGAGACAAGGGTGGAAGAGAGGGCAGGAATATGGAGGAGGAGAAGTTGTAATAAATGAAGAGATTAGGGAGGAGTAGGGAGGAGCAGTGATTAAGGAGATTGAGAAGTATGCGGAGGAATAGTAGCAGCTGCAGAAAAAATGCTACTCTTATTTTTGTCATTGCATTATTATAATCATTATCATCACTAACATTATCATCTTTAATAATATAATTTTATCATTTCGTTATCCTTAATTTTAGTTGTAATTAAGTATTAGCCTTGATTGTCAACATCCATATTGTACTACTTATCTCATTTTTACTTTGTACTTATTCGGGGGTTTTTTTTTTCTTTGTTTTTTTTATCTGATATATGTTTTTATATCTTACAGCTGATCCTCATCAGCTACAGCCTGATGTTTTCCTGACTGGTTTATTTCTATTAATGTATATAACAATTGCTGGTTTATTCTAAAACTAATGATGTATGTTATATCTCACAATTATCGCTTGAGTTTTATGACCTAATTACTTACTATATATATAAAACTACTAGTTACAAGACACCGCGACAATTACATTAAGAGCAAAATGTACGTGACATTTATTAAAATACGTCATAAACACATTCTAAAAATAACAATTTTACAATCTGTTGGTTTGTACTCTTGTATAGATAATTATAAATAACTATAAGCATTGTGCCAACCATTAATTCGGTTTATTAAATCAGTGTATTAGTACTGTTCAATAATTGCGTTTATTAATTCCGTTCAAAGTAAAGCTAATCTAATTTACCTTATTTTCTTGCTGCGAAAGATATATCAAATTATTTGTAAAATATGGCAATTTAACCACGAAACTATCTTAAATGGTATTTTGTGGCTGCATGGCCGAGGGGTTAACGCGTCGGACCTGTAATCACAAACCCTGTCAGGGCCGAGCCGTTATTACCTTGAGCAAGAAACTTTACTTTCATTTCTCAGTACTGGTTTGTTGGACGAATGCGACAATGTGTCTGCAAGTTATAAACAGCTTTTCCGAAGTTTTCTTATAAAATAACACAAACAGTTAATTTTGTTTAATTAAAAATAATTGTATGTAAAGAACCGGAATAATAATGATCTATACCACATTGACGTTGATGGTGTGGTTGTTGCTAATGTTTTTATAACTTATTGCTCGATCCATTTGCTCTAGATCTCTTTGAGAATATTTGTTTTTTATTATCGTTCATATAACCTTACAAGTATTTATGTATGGAATAGTTGCAATTAAAACATATTATACTTAACTGGTATCACATGATTTTTGTAAGGTTATGAGGAAATTTCGCCGTGCATTATCAACTTGATCAATTCCCTACTGATCTAAGGTGGCGGACTTGACAGATTTATTAAACGCAAATAATTCTAGTCCATTATGTAACAGCTGGTATAACTTATTAGAATATATGTCAGAAATAAAACAAAGTATGGCATGTTATAAAAACTAACTGAGATTATAACATGAAAGCTGTTAATAAGATAAATTATAAAGTGTTATAATAAGACAATAACTTAATTATACAATTTGGTACAAAATAAATGCTTTCATCAGAATCTATGAAATAAGATTAAAATTGAAAGAAGAAATCTTTGAAAATCAGCCCCAACCCCACTATGCTCAATGTGTGAATATCTTCATAGCAATGCAAACAAAATTGCCTGTATAAAATGCTAAATGTTGTTTGTGCATGTCGCTAACAGGGCAACCTATAAAAAAATAAAGGGAACTGTATTGTTCAAGAGTAATACAAACATAAAGCTAAAGAGATAAGACATTAAACATATTTATTTTATGCTTTTCAGTGGATTACTGGTTTATCCGTGAAAATTATATTTGGTAATTTCACAGTGAAAATTATCAAAATATAATTTCACTCTTTTCTATGAGGAAACTACTTTTTTAAGATTTTCCCCATGTGGTACCTCAATTTTATTTTTGCTGACAATTCTGACAATGTCAGGCTGTTTAAAGAAAAAGCAAAACTGAAATTGATAAATAACTTAAATGTCAAAAGTAATAAAAAGAAGAAAACTTACTTCTATTCATTCAAATTCATGAAATTCCAATCACCAAATTTCGTTTTTTTGTTTCATTTTGACAGTCTCAAAAATACATTCCTTCCCCATGCAAAACTGCTCTTGATGACATTTGGGCATATTAAAGTATCATACGAGCAATAACTGCCGTATGCTTTATGAAAAATTGAAAGCATTGACAGCCATAACTGAAGAATAAGTTAAATCAACCCAGCGTTCTTGAGCAGGTTTCCAAGTTTTCCATTTTCCTAGCTCCTTTTCTGAATGTTTTCACATCTGTCAACACTTATTTTTTGTCTGTTACAATCCTCAAATAAGTTTTCTTTCTTTTAAAAATGTGTATGACTAACAAATCCAAATTATATCCCTCTGAATCTTACACAATTATTTTCCTCCCATGAAATACACAACTTTAAAAAATGGCAGCCGCTTACAATTTACAAAGCCAGGTCTAATATAAATTCGCACTAAGTAACAGAAATATGGATGGATGGTTGGACTTTTTCTCCTACAAGAATTGTTTGTTTTTATTATCAAAACAAGCGATCATTCATATTTTTTTAATAAAATTAATAAATATCACCGTCATTTAATGTTGATTGGCGGACTTATTTTTCAGCTCAAGACTTCTTTTTTTTAATGAGAAATTCCGAATAAATGGGGCTCTCAATGGGGGAAACAGTTTTAATATTAACGTTAAAATTATGGAAATTTCGTTTTAACTTGTTTTTAAGCATAAAATAAAAAGAAAATTTGTCTGTTTGTTGTGTAAGATGTAATTTTATTTCATCTCGTGAACTTTAAAAAACAGTATTCTCACTCGTGGCTTCGCCACTCGTGAGAATACTGTTTTTAAAGCCCACTCGATGAAATAAAATTTCATCTTACACACAAACAAACAAATATCCTCTATATATTGAGGCAAGTTCTGAGGCAACGACCTTGACAATTGATAAAACAAACGCCGACACCGGCGGCGAGAGAGTCATGGACATAGTCTACCTTATAGATCTTCAAAAGATAAACGACGGTTCAAATAAATTCCATGAACTTCGCACAAAAAATAGTGATAGGGTCGTAATCATTTAATTGTTTCGAATTTTATTTCAATTTTCTTATTACAAGATTCGGCACCTTGGATCTGTGTTGGAACACGAGTAAACATATCAATCAGAACACTGAATATTATAAATTTTGATAATTGATGCTACCATGTCAAGTTTGAAACTTGAAAATAGTAAACATCTTTTTTCTTAAATACATGTCAAATTGAAATATTGTTGCTGATTCAGTTTGATTGAAAGTATATGCTAAGATTTCAGCTTAAGCAGGATTCAGAATTTAATGATTAAAATCATCCAAATTGAAATAAATTGTTGGACGGTTTAGCCACAAAATACACCTATGAACAAATTGGCAGTTAAGTTGTCTTCATATTACCTTATTTACAAGGATTTCAACATGGTGTTTACTTCATGGGTATTATAGTAAATATTTATTTTTTATTTATATTACCAATTGCTGATAAAAGCTTTCAATTTGATTGTGTTGTTCTAAATGAAAAACGGATATGAAGTGATTCCAATAATTTAAATTGGCAACAAAATATGACGTTTCAAAATAGAAGTACGTGATATTTATGAGTAGTGTAATTGTAACAGTGTTGTAAAAACCTTTACTTTTTCACCACAATGAAAATAAATAAACATGTCTTATATATCCCACAAAGTATATATTTTTATGAAAACTTAACATTTTATTTTACTTTTTCTTACACACGTACTGTCAAATGAAAAATTCTTTATATCTTGGGTACTATTGGATATTTCTTGTAAACACATAAACATCAAATAAGTGAATTAATGTAACAAATAGTTTACACCAAAGGCTCATTGGTAAACAGTTCTGTGTTGTTCACATTTTAAAGTACAGACTTTCTACACATTTTTTACAATTCATTTAACAAAAACATTAAAATACAAAAGTAAAGATAGCATCTCTGCAACAAAAAATAACATAATGTTTAAAGAAGAGACAAGACGCCGCTACAAGACTGTTGATTGATGAATATTCTCGTATAACTCTTGTCATATTTCTTAGCTAAAATCACAGCTTTCTTATAATAATTAAAACCATTTTGCTATTGATTTGCGCTAGTGAAATGGCTTTTCCACGAGACTGCCTTTGAGCATCATGTACTCAACCATTTGCCGGAACACCAACAGCAAGGGGTCTATGATGACTATAAGTACTTAACGTAGTGTCTTCAGCGCCATATAAACTAAACTGTGTTCGTGCGGCGTAAAAACCAAAGAAAATTAACCAACAAACCCCCAAAAAACCATATATTATATAAATATGATTTAACAAACATTGAACACATTTTACATTAAAATCATAGTTTGTGAACGATGAGTAATACCTTGATAAGTTTGCATCACCAACAAGACAATACGAGCTTTGTATGAACTGCGACTATAATCAAAACACAGGCTTCCTAAACATAAAATCATTAAGAAAACATTAACAGTGTCGGTGTAACTAAAAAACGAATGAAACAAAATAGCATATTATATCACATGTAACCATTTTAAGAGGGAGGATATTTAGCACATGCAAGCATCTGAAAGCCAATACCGATATTGTTTTTATACCAATAAACCGCTTGTAGACATTCAATGGTTGGCATAGACTGAATCCAGTATTTATAGTTATGATTTGGCTGGTTTGTCATCTTGTTTTGTTAATGACTTAGTAGTTGAATATGAGTACTTCATTTAAACGAATGGACTGTTATAAAAGTATATAAAAAGACATATTTTCGGATCTAATGACAGACGTGATAATTAAAATGTGCACCTGGTGACAAACGTTTTTGTCACTCTGCTAATTGCTACTTACTTTCCCGCAGACGATATTTGATACTAAGATGACGTCATTGCCGTTAATTTATATACCTTAAATTATACCCACAATTGTAAATGCCAAGGGAGATGATGATATTCATTAAAAAAACATAAAGTGGGAAAACGTGAATAAATATTTTATTTTGTAAATTGATAAAACGAATTAATAGTATTTGCGTATGCTTAGTGCTGTTGTAAAAAAGATCAAATTAACGATGACATGTATAAATTGAAGTCAGTTCATGACAAAGAATGTCACGTCGTTAAGATGTGCAGAAAAACGACAAAAATCACCAAATAATATTATCTCCATATTTTTTAATGACGTCTTATATTGAGTTCATAAAAAGTTACTGATTTTTGCCGAGGCACATTTAAGTATAGGTTAGTGACAAGATTGAGCCGCTTATTTATTCCATTAAAGATAATGAAATAGCAACAAAGGTTATGTATGAAAATCTTCACTGGACCAAGTTTTGTTTCTGTTTTCTGCTCCATACAAATCACAAAATGTCACTTGTTAATGGCACCGAGAATGTAAACCGTTAAATTCAATTACTAATTAAATAATTTTGCATACATATATGCATTCTTTAAATATTATTTGTCTTTACTAGCTCAAGTAGATTTCCATTCATTAATATTCATTGCAGCAGAAAATAGAATCGTAAAGAAAACAATTTTTTATTGCCTTGGTGTTAAATTGTCTGTTACCAATAACATTATTTGATACGTTTATAAAATTGTTATTGAATCAGCATGAAGTATATGATGTGCTCAGATATATTGGTAATAATGATTGTCTAAGATAAGGCAATCCACATCAGGATTTTTAATACAATATTAATTGATAAAGTATATGAAGCAAATGTCAATTAAAAAGAAATCAAGACTCTATAAAAGGTGACATTTGTATGCACACATATTCTAATGGTGGGTGGATTCTAAAAAGAGTTGTTATTATTTTTTATCCTTATTGTTATAATTATTATTATTATTATTATCATTATTATTTATCTTTATAATATAAGAGCCGCGTCACGACAAAACCAACATAGTGGGTTTGCGACCAGCATGGATCCAGACCAGCCTGTGCATCCGCGCAGTCTGATCAGGATCCATGCTGTTCGCTTACCAACCTTATAACAAGTAGAGAAACTGATAGCGAACAGCATGGATCCTGATCAGACTGTGCGGATGCGCAGGCTGGTCTGGATCCATGCTGGTCGCAAACCCAATATGTTGGTTTTGTCGTGACGCGGCTCATATCTCTTTTATGATATTAAGCCTGAAAACATTAATAGGACCCGTATATTATAACGTATAAAGATTTATACAACATACCATTTAGCATCAAAACGCTAAACACAGAAAACACATAATTATACAGAAATGATATTAACACTTGTTCATAAACACATGAAGTATACTTCAATAAATAAATTATTCCATTCTATTGAAATCATGCGAAGCCATTTGTAAAATTAATTTTTCAATATCGCATGAATTTTCTTATTGTATTTACTTTTTGTTATATTTCATTGGTCCTTCAGGATTATTGATTTCATAACTTTCAAGTGTTGAAATTGAGTCACGCTCAAGCCGGTGCTGTTGGTCATGGGGGATATTGCATTTTTTATTATCCCTCATGTACAGACACAATCATACCGAGTCTAAAATTTTCATGTAATATGGCTCTTTAAATGCCTCCGAGGAATCACTTTTTCTAGATATTTATATGGCATTTCACAACATGTAGAACAATTAAATCAATATCATCAATCAATAATTTTTGTTTTAATTAACTTGCAAATGTGATTTAAAGTAGCAAAGGAAAATGAACAATAAATGCGAAAAACCTTCCCTTTTTACAATGTCTTTGCTTTCACGGCGCATTTACACATTTTAGTTTATATGGCAACGAAACAGGGTTAAATGGCTATCATGGGATGTAACAAACTTAAAGCAATACCAAGTGTTAAAAGCACCTCATCTGCTGGATAGACTGCACAAATTTAAACCCTTTTAGTCCCTCTAACAATAACGCAATCTTGCGTAAACGGTGGCCGTAATTCTGACGCCCAACCCTTAAAAGCAATCTTTTTACTTTCAATTACTGGTAAATTATCTTTATTAAAAACGATGGGTTGAAATATAATATAAAGCATTTCGCCTTTATGTGGTATTTGTAAATGACCCTAATTCCACTTGAAAATAACAAATCTGCATTTACACGCTAATCTTGACTAACATGATTTAACAGCATACACTTTAAAGTGTTTTAGTCTACACTTGACACATTTTTCATAAGTATTTCAAATATTGGTCAATATATTTAAATCATTTGAATATTCAAATAAGATATATCTTGATAAAATAATGTAAATAAAGGTTTCATTGATTTAGTATGAATATTTATCTGATAAAACATAATACTTTGCCTGAAAACAATTTCTCATGTGCTATTATTTTATAGATATGTAATATCGGGCAATGTATCTCAAATATACCAAGAACATCCATATATAATGTGTTCATTGTTTGTTGTCACTTATGCTACTTAATACCATCAACATAATTATTTATAGTATTACAAACATTAAATTATAACGCAAAACACTTTAAAGATACATAAATGAAGCAGCGACTGTTCATCAATAATAACACATTAAAATTCAAAGTTGATTTTATAGTTTATTTTACAAAGAAGAAATAATAATATCGCTATAACAATAAAAACACTGGTTTTAACATATATCAATTTATTTTAACAAAAATAAATATGCATTTAACGATAACAAATAAATATAGCTTTCTTATAAAGTGATTGTATCATTAAATGTGATCACGAATTGTCAGTCAGCACTCTTAAACAGCCCGCTGTAGAATACTACAAAAAATACCAAGGTACGCTACAAAAATACCAAGGTACGCTCCAAAATATCAACGTATTACGGCAGCCGAAGGAAGTGTTAGGCAAACATCAAACATATATTGCACCAGATTTTAATCACAAATATAACATTCAAATACCTATACAACAAAGCTACACATTAGCTGTATCAAAACTTTCACTCACAGTTGACTTTAGTTTAAATGAAGATTTAAAGAAAACACTACTTCTTTTAAGGAAGCCGTTACAGTATAGAATTTGACGAAGTTTACGCCGGAAACCACGTACGGCTTAGAAAGCAAAAGCATATGGGATTTATTGCGGAATTGGAAAGCCCTAATATCATCACAAGAGGATAAATATATGTATACACTGTCGTCATCAATCTAGTCTTTGATGTGTCCCCAATGTTAAAATCGATCCAAAGGTTTACAATATAATATGGTAGCCAGCAGATTCCGAAACATATCACCACACAGATCAACATTTTGACCGTCCTCCTGCGTTGTTTCAGTATCAGATTCGTTTTGAGTTGGTGCATTTTGCACGCGTCCCTTAATGTTGGGTTTCCATACCACAGTGTATAGCCAATTACTGAGTATGCCACGAGCATTATAATAAATGGACAAACAAAAAGCACGCTGAACACAAATAAATTGAACACATTTTTATCTGATTGACTGTTCCACTGTTCTTCACAAATTTTCGATTCAAGTAAACCAAACAAGTTCGAGGTTTTGACGGAATTAACAAATAAAAGTGGTGAGAATGAACCAAGTGAAATTATCCATATTACGCAAATCATTATACGAACGTTCTTAGTGGAGAACGCAATCTTTGCTGTAAGTGGTTTATAAATAGCAAAATATCTACTAATGCTGATGAACAATAGAGAAAGCACACTCACACCGACTGCTATTCCTTGAATAAAGGGAGTTAATTTACACAATATTTCGCCGTATATCCATTTCTTGTAGACGGTGCTCCCGAGTGTCACAGGTATACAAATAACAATAACAAGAATGTCTCCACACGTCAGATTCACGAGAAAGTAGTTCGTCAATGTTCGCATGCTCTTGAAGCGTATTATAACAAATATTACGAATAAGTTTCCAAGAAGTCCGATGATAAAAATAAGTCCGTATAATATAATAAGGAAGATATTCAATGCACTTAGATCTAAGAATATTTCCGCTTCGTCAACTTGTAGCTCGTATGGAAAATTGTCAAGATAATCAAAAGAGAAGTTGTCATAAGATATGGCGTAATTGTCTTGCTGAATGTCATATGGCACCATCGACTGATTTTGAGGCTCTCCGGATGACTGCATGACGTCATCAAATTTCTTCTGGTCTGAAAAAGTGAACACAAAATAAATATAAGTTTCCATTAAATCAGTCTACATATGTTCTTTAATTTACAAATCTAAGCGTAATTTTACCGGATTGTTTTTTATTTATTTCAGAACGTTTGAATACTGATTCTGCCAGTGTTGAGGGTGGGGCTTTTCAAAGGCTGAACCTCTAAATTTTACCAAAGAAGATTCTGCTATCATCATCAATTGGTTTTAATTACTTCCGATTAACTTTAATGTACATAATAATTTGTTTGGGGGGTCTTTTTTGTCTTCATAATATTCATAACATTTAGGATATCAATATAACAATAAATTCTTATCTTAATAATACCTTATATTGACGAATATCTACACGCATGCAAGTATAATTAACAAGATAATACAAGTATAATTGATTTCCAAATGCATGGTTTGAAGACATTGTACGAGAAATGCATGAGGAATGCATATAAACCCGCAATAAGCTTCTTATCGCATTAACACGCATTATTATGCATGCTTTGTTGAATATATATACAAAACATGCGTCTTCGTTTAATACATTGATAGTAAATAAAAGTAAATAAAATATAGAGTATGTGCATCAGAATAATCCTATCATAACGTAACATTGTTATTTTTACTTATTTTTTATTTATTTGTATTTGCCACTTTAAACGCGATTTCTTTGCTCTCTATGAATATATCTCTTTTTCTGGAATTTTATCACCAATGGAAATAATATGTAACTTTTTTATACACCATAAGTTTATGTATTTGTGACTCCGGAAAAAGTCAATAATACCTTGTATATTTATAGTTCACAAATTTGACGAACTGCCGGATTAATGCAAAGTAATACTAAAATAAAATACAATACTCATACAAATCCAAGTTTGTTAGAGTTTTAATAATCAGGTTGACATTTTGTCTTTTCTTTTTTTGTTGTTGTTTTTGTTTTTATCAATTGGTTAAAGTGTATACATGTATATAGTATATTGATTAAATAACATTCTCGATCCATTTTCAACGGAGAATTGATCACAACTGTTGCATATTTTGCAATTAAACTGATGATTCTTACTGCAATGCTTTTCCGCCAAATATTCTAATATCGGCCAATATCGTTATAAATAAGTCGTTTCCAGAACGTGCTTTATTTTCACAATTTTCGGTATTCAGTATTTTAACCGTTTGTAACTAGAATTGAATTCATGGCGATTGTATATAATCTAATGCTCAAGATTTTTTAAAACAACAACGTTCCGAACTAACCGATTAGCTACGATATTGACCGATGTTAGAATTGATTTGTCGGGAAAGCATGACAGTAAAACTACCTTCAAGTTAGGGACTTTAGTCACTTTACAGATAATTCGATAGAACAATTGAAATGCTTAAAGAAAGCCCGGAATAAGCAGAATTCAAAATAAAACATCCACGGATAGGATGCATTGACTAAATAAAACATCGATAGTTAAAATGCTTAGATTCGATTTACAGTGGAACTTTAAAAAATACTCAAGTGTGTCTGACTGATGAAAATTTATTATATCAAGCCATTTTCTTATTATGAAACATCTTTTCATTACGTGTCAATGGCATATGTTTGAAATTGGTGCATTTACGTCCTGAGAGTGATTTGTTTACATATATAAATGACGAAAGGAAACTTGCAAGTAGACATATACGTTTCATAAGTCAAATGAGAATTTATTAAGAGATACTTGTTTCAAACCATTAGCAAGAAACATTTGTCTGATGTATATAGGAGATGGAATATATAATGTAATTTTAGTAAAGCTGGGCAAATAATTGGAAGCTTTATAATAATTTGTAGCACGTAAAATTTGTTGTGTTTATTGCATATTAAAACAATGTAAATTAGACGAAATGTCCATTAACACTACATTGTTTACTACTCTCGTTACTTGCTTTGCAAACCTGAAAAGCAATTAAATGTTAATTGTTTCTTGATACGTGTTAAGGTTATGTTTATGCGAAGACCATTAGAAAAACAAATTAAATCAACAATGTAGAGCTACCATTTTGTCTCCTTCGAGTACAGTCAGTTATTTCCGCTTGACCATTTTCAAATTTCTCCTTTCGTCCAATTACATCTACTATATGTGATACTTAAATATTTACAAATTATTTATTTTAGGTAAATACTACAATTCATGAATTTTAGCCCTTTGGAAACAAAGAATCAGATTGATTTGTTTCAGTATAGTTTTTAAACAGACCCTATATATAGGATTTTTATTATATGATTTTCTACAATATAGAAGATATAAACATTCAATCTTGTAAAAAAGGCAAGTATAGCGTTAGTTGCGGTGTTAATGGGTTTACATTTATAATGATTAACATGTTACATTCAAGTAACTTTGTGAGAAACAAATTTCATCAAAAGCAGGTAAACAGTTTCAACAGCGTTCATGTCATTGCTTTAGAAGGCGACTGAAAATTACATAAAGAAATAGATTGCATATTAAGTAAACATTATTAATTCTCTATAATAGCAAGGAGATATAAATCAAATTTAATGAGGGAATATAAACGTCCTTTAGAGAAGTGTATGGCGGGTTATACATTATTATAAATCAGGTGTTTATGTATTTTATTAATTTTACATTATAAACATCAGGCTTTTATATCATATAAATTCCGCAAGTTTAATTAATGAGAACTTAACAGTATATGAATAACTTTATTAACACAACCAATAAAGTATTTGTTGAAACGGTATGCCATATTTCTTTTAATAAATACGATAAAACGGAACTTAATGATCCATCGTATTAAAATTAAGAAATTGTTAATTGTATACTAAGTCTAATTGTTAGCACCGAAATTCGTTTACATGTTTAACTCATCAGTTAATAATTATATTATTTTCGTTACTAGGTTATCAAAGCTAACTGGTTTAAAATCTGGATTAAGCCAAACATTTTATTTCTTTATTAAACAAAACAAACGCTTTGAGGATTTTCAGCGGATTTATGATTTCCGCATTTATTTCCAAAAAGAAGATAAATAAACAAATGAGTAAATGTAATATCAAAATGACATATATTCATTATAAGTATATTTTCTTGTTTATTTAATAAACAAGTATAGATATTCCTAATCGAATAATTTCTATAATAATTCATTTGTTCATTTTTTTTTTCATTTTTTTTTTGTATTTAATATTTACTTCTTCGATATTTATTTTTACTATTATTTTCCGTTATTTTTATTTGTTTTATTTTCTTTTTCGTATTAATTGAATCCATCATTTTATTGTGTTTAAGAATAAATACTGCTAAGGTCGGTGCTAGAGGGGTTGTGGTTCGATCTGTGACATTTTCCTTAATCTCTCATAAACAGTACGAATCTGAAATGTTCACTTTCTTACTTTGTTTTCATTGCTCCCAAAGGATTACCCTGTTTAATAAAGATTTTTCTTAGTAAAAAAGTCATGTTGCATACTGCTGAACGACGTGTACATGTTAACACCGTGTAATTAACTGTTAGCATCTTATAAATTCAAAGTGTTATGCAATGTGAGCAATGAAAACAGATATAATTGCATTTATTACCGGGAGTAATAAACTCATACGGAATGTTAACAAAATAAGATATTGCAATATGTTACAAATTAGAGCAATCCTCGGTTAATTGCATATACACCGTTGTTAATTGGTGTTTACTTTCCTTTTCTTAAATCATCATTCACGCAAACATTGACGTCATGCTGATAATCTTTAATATAGAAATGTTATGAACGTTTTATAAAACCCAATTGTTAACCTTGATACAAAATCAGTCGTAACAGAAGTGACTATTACATGAGTGACTTATTCAATGTAAATCTCAGGAAAAGTAATAACAATGTATCCCTAAAAGTTGTGAATCGTTACATGACTTTTACAACATATTTTACAATTTTTGTATCACGACTGTAAATGCAAAGTACTGACAATTAAATCATACTGCCCATTACAGGAATGACGGGCATAAAATTACGCAAATACCTGCCAACAGAAGTATGCGTTTTCCAACATATACAAACAAGACGATCCCCTGTGGCACATTGTGTGTTACTATTAAAAGACTTCTCTCTATATTGGCGGCCTTACTTTCTTCATAATTTCTAGGGATCAGTTATTACTTTTAATTATAATGATTATGTGACAGGGGTGACATAAACTTTAGGGACATATTTCAAATTTAAAAAAGAATTTCAAAAAAACTGTTGTAATTGAATGTTTAACATTATAGTTGACTGGCTAATACATAATAAAATAATGCAAAAAAGGTATGTTTTGAACAGTTATATAGTCAATAGATTTGTTAAATTGTCACAATTGCTGTTATTTTTATATAGGGACATCACTAATTGGCTCTAATCGGCAATTCTGAAAAATATATGAAGATAATATAACAATTTAATGAACTGGAAACTCCAGTTGAAATCATGAGATTTCAGCCCATTTTCATTTTCAGTAAAGTCACTTACGTATACAAAGTTTTGGCCGTAGGACAGAAATTACTGGGAAAATATAGAATGATTCATTTATGGTATAACAAACATTAAACTATAGATCAAATCTCTTTAAGGATGATTAAATAAAGAAACGGCTTATCACTACCCTTTACATGAAAAATAACACATTCAAATCAAAAGTCGTTTTTAGTTTATTTTACAAAGAAAAAATAACAATATCGCTTTAACAATAAAAACACTGGTTTTAACATACATCAATTTATTTTAACAATTATTCAAATGAATTCAACGATAATAAACAAACAATAAACAAAGCATTATTATTAAGTGATTGTATCATTAAATATGATCACGAATAGTCAGTCTGCACCCTTAAACAGCCCGCTGTAGAATGCTACAAAAATACCAAAGTACGCTTCAAAATTCCACCGTACTCTACAAAATACCAACGTACGCTTCAAAAATACCAACGATCTCTACAAAAATACCAACGTACGCTTCAAAAATACAATCGTACTCTACAAAAATACCAACGTACGCTTCAAAAATACCAACGAACGCTACAAAAATACCAACGTATTACGGCAGCCGAAGGAAGTGTTAGGTAAACATCAAACATATATTGCACCAGATTTTAATCACACATATAACATTCACATAGTTATACAACGAAGCTACACATTAGCTGTATCAAAACTTTCACTCACAGTTGACTTTAGTTTAAATGAAGATTTAAAGAAAACACTACTTCTTTTAAGGAAGCCGTTACAGTACAGAAGTTGACGAAGTCCACGCCGGAAACCACGACTTAGAAAGCAGTAACATATGGGATTTATTGCGGAATTGGAAAGCCCTAATATCATCACAAGAGGATAAATATATGTATACACTGTCGTCATCAATCTAGTCTTTGATGTGTCCCCAATATTAAAATCGATCCAAAGGTTTACAATATAATATGGTAGCCAGCAGATTCCGAAACATATCACTACACAGATCAACATTTTGACCGTCCTCCTGCGTTGTTTCAGTATCAGATTCGTTTTGAGTTGGTGCATTTTGCACGCATCCCTTAATGTTGGGTTTCCATACCACAGTGTATAGCCAATTACTGAGTATGCCACGAGCATTATAATGAATGGACAAACAAAAAGCACGCTGAACACAAATAAATTGAACACATTTTTATCGGATTGACTGTTCCACTGTTCTTCACAAATTTTCGATTCAAGTAAACCAAACAAGTTCGAGGTTTTGACCGAATTAACAAATAAAAGTGGTGAGAATGAACCAAGTGAAATTATCCATATTACGCAAATCATTATACGAACGTTCTTAGTGGAGAACGCAATCTTTGCTGTAAGTGGTTTATAAATAGCAAAATATCTACTAATGCTGATGAACAATAGAGAAAGCACACTCACACCGACTGCTATTCCTTGAATAAAGGGAGTTAATTTACACAATATTTCGCCGTATATCCATTTCTTGTAGACGGTGCTCCCGAGTGTCACAGGTATACAAATTACAATAACAAGAATGTCTCCACAAGTCAGATTCACGAGAAAGTAGTTCGTCAATGTTCGCATGCTCTTGAAGCGTATTATAACAAATATTACGAATAAGTTTCCAAGAAGTCCGATGATAAAAATAAGTCCGTATAATACAATAAGGAATATATTCAATGCACTTAGATCTAAAAATATTTCCGCTTCGTCAACTTGTAGCTCGTATGGAAAATTGTCAAGATAATCAAAAGAGAAGTTGTCATAAGATATGGCGTAATTGTCTGGCTGAATGTCATATGGCACCATCGACTGATTTTGAGGCTCTCCGGATGACTGCATGACGTCATCAAATTTCTTCTGGTCTGAAAAAGTGAACACAAAACAAATATAAGTTTCCATTAACTCAGTCTACATATGTTCTTTTATTTACAAATCTAAGCGTAATTTTACCGGATTGTTTTTTATTTATTTCAGAACGTTTGAATACTGTGTCTGCCAGTGTTGAGAGTGGGGCATTTCAAAGGCTGTACCTCTAAATTTTTCCAAAGAAGATTCTGCTATCATCATCTATTGGTTTGTATTACTCCCGATTAACTTTAATGTACATAAGTATATGTTGGGGAGGGTTGTCTTCATAATATTCATAACATTTAGGATATCAATATAACAATAAATACTTATCTTATTAATACCTTATATTGACGCATATCTACACGCATGCAAGTATATATCACAAGTTAATACTAGTATAATTGATTTCCCATCGCATGGTTTGAAGACATTGTGCGAGAAATGCATGAGGAATGCATATAAACCCGCGATAAGCTACTTATCGCATTAACCAGCATAATTATGCATGCTTTGCTGAATATACATACAAAACATGCGTCTTCGTTTTTCACAATGATAAATACAGTAAATAAAAACAAAATAGTCCAGGTCTGTACATCAGGTTCCTTCAACATTATTTTGCTTTATTATTTGTAATTGCCATTTTCAACGCCCTTTCTTTGCTCTCAAGGAATCCAAGTTTTTTTCAGAAATTTTAACACCAATGGAAATAATATGTAACTTATTTTTATACACCATAAGTTTATATATTTGTGATTCCGGAAAATGACACTTATACCTTATATGGTTATATTACATAGATTTGACGAACTGCCGGATAATACTAAATGATACTAAACTTAAAAAAACAAAGTTGTTTAAAGTTAATATATTGTATACTCATTTGATTAAATAACATTTTCGAACTAACTTTGCATGCCCTAAACGGATCACAACTGTTGCTTAATTTGCATTTAAACTTATGAGTTTAAGGTAGGGTTACTGCAATGCTTTCCCGCCTAAAAATTCTCACGTCGGCCAATATTGTTATAAATCAATCGTTTCCTGAACGTTTTGTTTTCACATCAACCGTATTCACTTATTTTAAGCGTTTATAACTGGAATTTAGTACATATCGAATGTAAATAATCTAATGGCCAAGATTTTGAAAAAATAACGTTCCGGAAATAAACGATTTGCTACGATATTGGCCGATGATAGTATCGTTTTTGCTGGTAAGTATGACAGTAAGATTACCTTCAAGTTAGGGACTCGACAGATAGCACAATTTAAATACTTACAGAAAGCTCAGAATAAGCAGAATTCAAAATTTGTTAATAAAACATCTACCAATAGGTTGCATTGACTTAATTAAACACCCATAGTTAAGATGCATGGTTTCCATTTACAATGGAACTTTACATAATTATGCAAGTGTATCTGACCGAAAAGAATTTATTATATCAATCCATCTTCTTATTATGAAACATCTCGTCATAACGTGCCCATGGCATATGTTTGAAATTGGTACATTTAGGCCCTGAGAGCTTTTGTTTACCTAAATGAATGATGAAAGGAAATTCGCAAATAGACAGATACGTTTCCTAAGACAAATGAGAATCTATTAAGAGATACTTGTTTCAAACCATTAGCAAGAAACATTTTTCTGTTGTATATAGAAGATGGGTTATATAATGTAATTTTAATAAAGCTGGACAAATTAGTTAAAGCTTTATTAGTTTGTAGCACGTAAATTATGTTTTGTTTTCTTGCATATCAAGAGAATGTAAATTAGACGAAATGTCCATTAACATAACAGTGTTTATTACTCTCGCTACTGTCTTTTGCAAACCTGAAAAGCAATTAACTGTTAATTGTTTCCTGATAAGTTTTGAGGCAAATGTTTATGTGAAGACCATTAGAAAAATGAGAAAAACAAATAAATCAACAATATCGAGCGATGTCTTTGTCTTTTTAGTGTGCAGTCAGTTATTTCCGCTTGACCAAGTTTTGCGAAATCTACCTTTCAGACTTATTGGCGAGGTTAAATTTTCAAATTTCTCCATTCTGTTCAATTATATCTACTATATATGATACTACTTAATTACTAAGCGATTATTTATGTTTAATGAAAAATCTACAATTCGCGAAATATAGCCATTCGCAAAAAAATCAGATTTTCAGTATAGTTTTGCCAACATTCCTATTGAATTCTGTATCATTTAGTAATAAAATGCTACACGATATAGAAGATACAAATTAAAACATTCAACATTGTAAAATAGGTCATGGCTGAGTATTTACCACCACCGTAACCAAGTATAGCGTTTATTGCAGTTTTAGCAGGTGTTTTAATGACTTACATTTAACAAGTAACTTTATGAAAAAAAAACTTTATTTCAAGCAGGTACACAGTTTATACAGAGTTCGTGCGACTGCTTTAGATGAATGCACAGTCGTTGCTGAAATTGTTCTTGATAAGCTATTAATTATTGTCGTTCATTTATCAACAATTTCACTTTGTTTATTACGTCACGCGGCATGAACTCGAGGTGCAGTTTTTGTTAATGTGGAATTTCAGAAATGAAACGCATATTAAAATTACAAACATGATTATTTATAGAACACGTAACAAGTGTCTAATTTTGAAAAAATTTATAAGGCTCGGCATGAAAAACAAATGAAGCTTCGCCCCCCTTTTTTTCTTAGCCTTGCCTGATAAATGTGTTATATCTGTTACATCTGAGTTAATTCTAAGTTAATTTCTTTTTATTATGTTTTTGCATAATGAAAAATTTAATTGCGTTGCGCAAACTGACTATAACAATGAAATTTGGCTTAAAGTGCTTTAAACAAAAACTGAAGAACGCTCTAAATTGCGATGCGATTTTTTTAATTCTGGTCAGTTGGTCAGTTTATGTATATAAGATTTTCAATTGTGTATGAGTTGACTTTTGGACCTTAGGAACTGCATTTATCCTGTCTTGATGTAAGAAGTAAATTTAGTTAGATTGCATGTCTTGATTGCACTCTCCCTATATCGTCATGTGTGCCTTAAGTTAGGTGAATTTAGCCTTGACTTATGTCTAATATGACAAATATTCAATTTCGCAACCGTTAAATATTTCAAATAACTGTGGCTTGTGTTTTGTTATTTGTAATACAGCTTAATATCTCACAAAAAAACACATAAAGGAAAATATAAATTATAATATCCATTAAGCGAAGGCAATTGATACTTACATAATAAAATAGAAGATTGTATATTAAATAAATTTTATTAATTTTGTATGATATCAAACGTTTTGAAGATGAAATATAAATGGCTTTTAGAAAAGTGAATGGCTGGTTAAACATTATTATAATTCACATTTTTATGTTTTTTTTTATTTTTTCGCATTATAAATAACAAGCTTTCATATTTTTTATATCATTTAAATTCCGTACGTTTAATAAATGAGAATTTATCAGTAGACGAATAACTTATTAACAAAACCAATTAATTGTTCAATGAAACGGTTTGCCATATTCCATTTGATAAATGAGATATACGAACTTTATGATCCATCGTATTAAAATCAATCAATTGTTAACTGTATACTTAGTCTAATTAATAACACTAAAATTTGTTTACATGTTTAAATCATCAGTTTATAATTATATGCTTGATGTTAATAAGAAATCAAAGCTAACTGATTTAAAATCTGGATTAAGTCATCAGTGTTATTTCCTTAAAAAAGCAAAATAAATGCTTTTGAGGTTTTTACAGCGGATTTATGATTTCCGCATTCTAAAAAAATAAAATAATTATAATAAGGTTATATTTTCATTAACGGTTTTTTTGTCTTGTTTATTTAACAATCAAGAATAGATATTCTTAACTGCATATATTCTATAAAAAAAATCGTTCGATTATTTTTATTTTGTGTTGATGATGTTTTTGTTTTTATTATTAATTTATTTATTATATATTTATTTATTTATTTATTTATTATTTACTTTTTATATTTATTTATTTATTTATTTATTTATTTATTTATTTATTGGCTGGTATTATCAATGATGCAAAGGTAAAGAATAATTCTTGTGCAGATACCAATACATTTTTTTGACTATTTTATGACGATGTTTAAAGGCGCATTTAATACAAAACCTGTTTCTCAGTAGACTTTTAAGATATTTATTCTGACTTACAATATATAATGCCTGCATGAAAATAAATTTAGAAGCATTTAAAGCTATAATTTTAAATTCAGTTTATAACTGAAAATAATCGTATTTCTATAATTATTTAAGAATTGTATTGAATTGTATTTAATGCGTGTTGAAGAAGGTGCCCCAGTCTTCAGTGAAGTTGTTACTTATTTTTTTATTTATTTTTTTTTTAAATTATTTTGCTTTCGAATGAATCAAACATTTTATTGTTTTAAAAATTTAATACTACTAAGGTCGGTGCTAGTTGGGGTGGGGTGTTGAATTTTCTATAATCTTTCATGAACAGTACGAATCTGCAATTGTTCACTTATATATTATGTTTTCTTTGCTACCTTTGCTCCCAAAGGATTACCCCGGCTTTTAAAGATTTTTTTTTCATAGTAAAAATACATGTTGCATACTGCTAAGCGACGTGTTCATGTAAATACCATGTAATTAACCATTAACATATTATAAATTCAAACCAAGGCCACACTGCAGTTATGCAATGTAAGCTATGAAAACATATATAATTGCATTTAATACGGGGAGTAATAAAATCATACGGAATGTTAACAAAATAAGATATTGCAATATGTTACAAATTAGAGCAATCCTCGGTTAATTGCATATACGCCGGTGTTTATTGATGTTTATATTCCCTTTCTTAATTCACTGATGAATGAAAAACGTTGCTTCGACGATAATTATCATAGTTCAGCAAATGTTGACGTCATGCTGACAATCTTGGATACCGAAATGTTATGAAAGTTTTATAACCCCGATTGTTAACCTGACATGTAAAACATTGATCAACTGACATTCAATAACTGTTTTAGTAGCATTCTGTCTTGAGATACAATATAGTAAAGAGTATAACGATTTTAATGTTAAATGCACGAGTTATGGTCAAAAATGCAACCCGAACGATATTGAAGACGAATGCCATTGTAAGTTAGTGTGAGAAACTAGATGTGACATGACATATCTATATATATAGCAGATAATAAAATGTTCTAAAAACAATATACATTTGTACTACTAATTGTCATATTATAATATTTTATAAGACTATCGTATCGATACATTTTCAGTATAATTATTTGAAACACTAATAGGAAAAAGTGCCTTGGGTAGACAAATCTACTTTATTCAAAGTTAAAATATTAAAACTGTGTATCAAAAAAAAAAAAATGTTACTTTTTACAACTGTTATGATAACTGTTTTTAATTAAGCTTTTTTATTTCAGTAATTACATTATATTTCACATTCTATACTGATCGGTTAATACTTTGTGTATGTGTTTTTTATTTACTTTATTTTGTTACATGTACTGAACTATTTTTTAAGAAAAAAAGTAAGTAACTTTAGGATTATCTTGACTAGACTCGGGTAGGACCCGTTCTAGTACTATCCAATGGAAGGAAATACAAATAAAAATCAAGTTAGTCCTATTATAACCCTATTTTAATTATATATTTAAACCTTGTCAGGTTTAAACTACATATTTAACCATAGCGAACATGTTATTGGCAAGACGCCAGCAAAGTCACCCTGGAGCACACGGGATCAAACTCGAGCGTGATAGAGATCTCATTTCTGTCTGGTCATATGTAAATATGTGATACATTCATTTCATGTAGAAAATATAAGTATCTATGACTATTAGCTTCCCATGTTAATACTATCAGAAGCTATGGAAAAGTTTCCAATGCTATGCTTCTGTTCCATTCCGTGCTGAGACGGGTGGCACAGAGCTAAGATATGCTAGTATGTGTTATGTCGTGTCATGTCTATGTTTAAGTTGCTACGTTAAAAAAGTCTTTGTCAAGCCGGTCACGTTGCACTAGGCTATTTAACCCTTTGCTATGTAGTGTCTGGCTGAACCACGAAAAGTTGCGTCATTGTATGCTGTGTCGTGCTGTACAGAACTACACAACGGTACGTTATGCTTTTATAAACTATGTCGTGCAGTGCCGGCTAACGCGACGGCTAACGCGACGTTACCTAATAATAGTTTGTGCTTTATCGTTCCGTGCCGAACCTCGCGACGCTTCGTGAGATTAGCCTTTACTTTGGCGTACCGTTCCGTGCCGGACTAAGAGAGGTATGATGTTATCCCGCTAAGCTTAATTGAGAGCGCACTGGATTCGCTGGTTCAATTTCGGGCTGAGCAATATTTTGCCATTAGAATTTATCTCAGACATTGAGTCTAGTGATTATTTGTCTCTCACTCATGACAAAGAAGTCATGTGTACTAAGTAGTCACTAAAAGTCTTGCGGAGAAATCTGAAATTGTTAATAAATTAGTCAGGAGGGCCAACTGCCTAGACATTACCAAATGTTGATTAAAATTTCTGTAAATCAGATTCAACAGTGCGTGCTTCGCATGCTATGCATAACATTTAACGACATTTATGATCGTTTGATCTTCCTCTCTTTGAAATAATATTGTTAAAGTCATTGTTTGACATAAGATATTGTATGAACATGGTAGAATACAAAAAAAAATCTTGTTTTATTAAGAAACCTTAGTCTTGCGTTAACAGTTTTTAATAATCAACCAACGGGCATTTCTAATTTCTATAACGATATCTTATCACATGAAGTCACTTGTTGTCATCAGATGACTTCAAATTCTTGTTAGCGTTATATAATGATGACGGGCATTTTATACCAAACTTTAAAGTCATTTCTGGTTATTTCCTTTTATAAGATATTTTATCATATTCATTTTTCAATCATTAAAGTATTTACCTTTACAAACAATACCATCAAAAGCTGCATGCTTTCGGATTGGCCAAAATATTTCATGAAAATCAAATATGAGAAAAGTTTAGTTAGATCTTAAGAAAAGTAAAAACATTCAAAATTCAAGTAATAATTTACATGTTATATGTTATATGCGATGAATGATTTTAAGTATTTAACAACATATTTCTACTGCGAGACGAACACAGAGAGGGCTATTTAGGCAAAGCATGACAATTTCCGTGGATTTTTAGCACTTAGTCTATTGAAATGCGTTAAATACTTTCTTTGTTCAATTGCAATATTTTACTTTCAAATACTATTTTTCTCATGCGTCTTGAGGCAAGTTACCCACAGATTGTTTCACTCACAAATATTTACGTTGACAAAAATCATTACTTTGATTTTTGTTATATGAAAAATAATATATTTTTTGTTCTATAACAAATTTATAATCTGCTATATATAGATATGTTATATCGAATCTTGTATCTTACACTCACCAGCACTATTCATTTATAATTGTTCCGCGTTTTTGATGTCACGTATGATACTTTTTATAATCAGTTAAACTTGCTATGGTATAATGGACCAACTCACAGTTATATTTATAAAACAACACAATTTGCACAATTATGATTTAAGTTTGCAATTTTGTATGATCGTTTCATAACGTTCCAATGAGTAATAAAGTATCCTGAAAATAGATCAAATATCAAAGTTATTTAGAGGAAGACTGAACCCCTAAAGAATGCCCTAAACGGCAAAAAATGAAAATGATTGAGCCTATTCATGGACGATACTGGAAAGTGTAAGCTACCGTTTATGAATGACCCCCCCCCCCAAACGCCGGAATTTAACATTAAACCACGAAAATGGAGAAATTTTGAATTTATAAACACCCCCAAATGTGTCAATAACCTTTCGAGTGTTTCACTAACTAAAGTTAATATAGCTTTAATATTATTTAATTGAATACAAATGTAAGATATATTGCAAAAATATTTTTGCTGATTCTCTTCATCGATTTCAATAAATTAAATTTAAAGTATGTTTAACATCCAGATTCACAAACGAAAAATCTTATCACCTCACCTATAATGTTGTACTTGTAATATTACACATGTTTGTAAATTTTAAAGTTTTCCTTTGGCTTCAAGAACAGTTTCAGATTTAATATCCCATTCAACACTACTGTACGTTAATATTCCTTCAAAGCTTTGATAATTCCCGTCTTAGTTTCTTCACTAACTCTGTTGCGTTATGTGTTTTCCGATATCTGGTGAACAGACAGTTTATATAACGAAGCGTGTCTTTGCCATGAAAAATGTCCAATATCTTTATGTCCAGCAGAGAAATCACCTGATGTGTGTCTTAAGTATGTTATTCACATTTTTTATTTCATTTTCAATTGTATTAAAAAACAGTACCGCTTTCTTAAGAAATGTAGACATAGTAGTAAAAACTAAAATTTTAAAATTATTTTGCAAATCCGAAGTGGAGGGGGGGGACAAAATGGAGATTCTGGCCCCTCCATCCCACCATAACTTCATGGATTTGGCTTACCAAGTAAAAATCACGAAACAAATAGTGGAAATCAGAAACCTTTTTTCCACGACACCGTCCGAAAAAAAATGTGAAAGTCAACCCCCTTTGGAGCATGCATTAACCTGATTTATAATTCTGTCACCCCCTATGATTAAAAAGACTGTGCCGTGCCTGAAATTAACATCATTTTAAACGATTAAATGAAAATTTGTCAAATGCATAATTCAGCAATGCATTTTTTGACAGGACTTGCCGCAACAACTGAGATTAAACTATCATCAATTAATCATTATGTCTTTAGGGGAAAAGAGCAACACAACAAATTCCCGTTTGAAATCTTTTACAAGCAAAAAAACAACCATTAGAAACATGGAAATTGTATGGTTCGTTTGAATAATTGACAAGCTAGTGTCAAATATTTTTAATGCAGTATTTTACATTAAATGACAATGTTTTATAATCGTGTTTTAAATGAAGTATCATTAAAAACGTTTTCATGCCGTTCACGTGCCCAAAATTTTGTTCCTGCTGGGTGCCTTATCAATGGTCCTTTGCTGATGGATTATGTTTGTGCTGCGTTCTGCAAAGTGCTCTCATATGATCTTTCCTTTCAATTTAAACTATTTCTTTTCCCTGATTTAATTTTACATCATTGATCGAGGTTAATTAGTGTCGAAGCCAATTAGCTCTTGTCACAATTGCTTGCGGTTTTCACCCCCATTAAATAGACAGGATCCTCAAGATTAAGCTAATAAGTTTTATTGTGTTGGTATTAAAAAGATAATTGAAATACAAACTGTTCATGTGGTATTATCTTGCATTGCTGTACAAACTGATGTATATTATGTCGTGTATTTGAGATAAGATGGACACAATTTTACTGTTGACAAATTATACACAAAAACACAAAATCAACAAGAATGGGCGGCGTACAATACATTCAATCTCTTCACGACCCAGCAACACAGGACCATCGGCAAGGAGTCAAGCAGGACACAAATTAAGAACCAGGTCAGGGCAAAGAAAAGCCGACAAAATGCAAAAAGCTGAATAAGGTCAATAAGAAACTGTTGCTTAAGCCTCGGTAATATAGGAGAGGACGATTTCTGAAGACGGTAAACACTTGATAAAGATTTTGCGCAACTAAGTGATTTACATAAGAAATGTTCAAAATGAAAAATTGGAAAACATTTTACTTTTTGAATGTCCTGCCAATGCATTAAACATAAGTTCGGGAGACTAATTTCTGGTTTGACAAAGAGCTTTTTAGACATATGTACTCGTACTTAAAACTAATTGTAAACATAAAGCCAGGTGTTGCAAACATACATTCTTTCTTATTGTGTATTATGAATGTATGCTGCATTCATGTACGTTAGAAACCTGTAGTGACGTATCTTATTCAATGAACACTTCGTACTTCATAACAATATTCATATAATTTATTTCTGGTAGGTTGTGATAACTGAAACAGCTGCCAAAACTTATTCTTTATTTGTGTAATTGTTGCCTTTTCCGTTTTCTAAGTTTGCATGGATTGTTGTTATTGATGTAATTCATTTTTTGGAGAAAATATTTCAAATTTGGAGAAACTAAAAAGAAAATACTTATAGTTTAAAAAACATATGAAAGAGAGTCCATGAACAGTCTCAATCAAATAAAGCTTGCAACAATGTCAGTCTTGTCGTGTTGGACTTTCTTTGGCGATACTTCTTGCCGCTGGTCCCTCTAACTTGGTCGTGTGGGAGTTGCGTTCAGTGAATGCCACCTTTCCTTGTAGATCTTGTTTGTCATACAATGTATTTAATGTAATGCCGTTGCTATGGGGCGTGAAATTTGTTGTTGCTTTTTCAACTCTCTATTACTCCGTCGCCGTGCAAAAGCTTGACAGCCTAAAATTGTTCTCTGTGTGTTCGAATCCCGTCATAAAAAATGTCACACAACTAATCTTTTCTGCAAGTATAAATAAATAGCATAATGAGAAGGCAACAATAATTCAAAATATGACAAATTAAAAAAAAATAGACTGACAATGCGCGCTGGAGCACATTATGCCATTTTATGCCACATTCTTCGAGTTCTACGTAAATGTTTCTTAGCATTGCTAAAAAGTGAAACCTAAAAGTAACCTGAAACAGACAAACAAATGAATTTGCAGGTGCAATCAAATTTTATATTTTCTCTGTCGGGTGTGGTAAATGTAAGCACGTGGTAAATCAAACACGCCCCGAACGCGACGGTTGTCGCAGAGCACCAGATGTAATGGAAATACCATGATAATTTAAACTCTGCAAACCATTGCGTACTTTGTGTTTATACAAAACTATCAAGTACGTGTTTTTAATCAACCTTGCTAGTGTGATCGTTCAGAAATAAACAAAAACAAATTATCATTAGCAAAATTATGAGTTTCAATTAGAAATAAATCTTTTATAAGATATGCTTTTAGACAACTATAAATTAAGAAAACATGGAATATCACATCTCGTAAACATTATGTTAAATTACTATCAAATTTCAACACCAGGAAGTGTATTGGGATCAGAAAAGTATGATTTATAGACAAAATATGAACATATTTTCTATCTTTTCATGGGATTGCGGTTACCAATATTACCTTGAGTTTAAAATTGTATGAAACAAAAATTCCTATGATAAACAAATTGAATGTAAATTTATCATATTTCCATTTTTTTTCTCAGACGTACTCTTTGACTAGAAATCATGCACTCTAATTTATATATACTTTCAAAACGGACTGGTGTATCTCTTCATATTCACATATGTTTGAAAATTCGCGAGAAATGCAATGGCGTTATTTTAGCGCTTAAGCCAAATTGGCGGGTACCCTTAAAACGGATATTCCGGCCCAAACATCAAAAACCTTCACAGAACAAAGCCTTAAAGTGTTTGAATCTTTCTATTAATTGACCAACTAACTGTTGGTTTTGAAAAACAAATTCTTTAAAAACACTTTGAAAGAAATGTGTTGAGGGGGGCGTACGGAACCTACGGAAAAGACCATTTCAAAATGATAATACTATAATATAACAATTCGTAAAAAATGACCTACGTTTATACATTGTACTTTAAATAATTGTTAAGATAGATTTAGGAAGAGTGCGATTTATTGTTGAATATGTTTGCATTTCATTTCCTGTAAAATTCTATTGTTCTTTATCTATTACCATAGCGCGACACGAATGACCGTTTCGTGTTTAAAAATCAGTAAACAACAACTACCCTTTCACCTATCGAAACGTCCTCGGCTACGACTGACGGAAAGAGCCAAACAATTGCGATTGTACTTTTACAAAATCTAAATGCATTCTATTAAGGGTTTCGCCTTTCGGCGCGGACGCCAATAATGTTGTTTGATAAGATGATAAGATAAAAATGTATAAACATAAAAAACATATACTGATCGAGTGATGATGATCATTCTTTGTAGAATGTAAATTGTTAAAAAAAAATTCTTATAAAAAATGATTGATTTTTGACATTAAGCACGTTTTTATTAGCGATGTGTTGTTATCTAAATATTTTGGAAAATCGAAAAGGCTTGACATAAAAGCTGTAGTCTTTCGCAACTTTACTTTGATAAATGCTACATCTAACTTTCTTTCAAGTCACTTAAACATACATAAAATTGTTTCAAAAATAAGATACAACGAAATGATATTAGCTGCATTTATTACATCCCCATGACATTTAATGTTGGGTTCAATATAGCGCCAAAATCAAGAAAATGGCTGTCATAACAAATGCTCCTCGAAACATCTATCTATCATAACAAGGAATGAATATACTTACAACTTCAAAATTTTGTTATTTGTGCACATCAAGCCGACATTTCCATTTAGTTTTACCCATGCCGGAAATTTAATCTGGCATAGAGGGTGCCAGATGAGTCGCGTGCTATACAACGTCATGTTTAGACTATCTAAATTATTAATGACATTGAAAATTCATATGCTGTTGAAACAAAGTTGTTTTCGGGTATTTTGACATAAGTTTACATGGAAAATTATTACTACTATAATTAATTTAAGTAGAATTCAACATTAAACGTGAACTGGTAAAATTTTGAAATTTTGAACACAATTTATCTTATTTTCTAAGTAACAGACAACTACAGACAACTACAGATATGCTTACACTTTAGAATATTTAAGAGAGAAATTATGCACCATAGCTACGCATGTTATTGTCATTTTGATGTCACTGTCGCATTTCCAAAAGTAGACATAATGTCGCAGATGTTTCTTGAAAGTAAAATCGACAAAACATCCTCCTAATTAAACGTCGATGAATAAGCTAGCTCAATCTAAGCCTGCAACGTTTTTGACATGTTTTAGGAGCGTTGAGTCATGTAAGGTTCCGATTTCTTATCATGGATAGCAATCCGCTTTGTCATCAAAGCACAAACAGACTCCGGTGAAATTGAGAAAAACGAATCTCTAATGAATGCCTTAAACGACAAAATTGAAAATGGTGCAGGCTCGGTTTGATCGAGACTGATCATGGACGTACTGAATAGTGCAAGTTAACGACTGCCCCCTAGCATCTATTTAAGCATAATTCAACATATAAACATGTAAAATGATGAAATTTTGTATTTAGAAACATATTTTCATACGGCGCTTATCATGGCACCTTCAATGTGACACTTTCGTGCCATTCAATGAAAAGCGGAGTATTGGCCTGAAGTACAAGAA